CACAGTTCTTGTTTCCCAAATGAAGGGTTCTAAATTAAGGTAAGAAAGTAACTATGCGTGATCGTTTTCGAAGGTTTTCGGAATTGTTTTTGCATCCTCCTAGGGCAGCTAGCTAGGCTTTCTCGATTACTGTATGGTGAAGACACAAAACAGAACAGTTTGTACAATAAGGCAGATTTTATTGTTGGTAAATGAGAGAAGAAATGATGACTATATAATTAAATTTGTGTTATATACAACGATACAAGGTTTGCAGACGAAGTAGTAGAAGCTTCAGATGGAAGTTTATATTTCAGCGTTGCCAGCACTAAATATGATGCACGCAATTGGTATCTAGACGTGTTGGAGGCGAGACCCCATGGTCAATTGCTCAAGTACAATCCATCCTTGAACGAGACTTCTGTTTTCTTGGATAATCTGAGCTTTGCCAATGGCGTTGCTCTTCAAAAGACGAAGACTATCTCTTAGTCTGTGAAACATGGAAGTAGGTCTATCTCAACTCTTAGCCAACACATACTTCCTTCTTTTCTATTATATATATATATATATATGTTAGCAGCTTTATCTCCTGTAAATCAGATACAGGTGTCTGAGGCACTGGCTCAAAGGCGAGAAGAAAGGCAAGACAGAGACTTTCATTGACAACCTTCCAGCCGCACCTGATAACATTCTTCTTGCTCCTGATGGCTCGTTCTGGGTGGCTTTGGTTCAGGTAATTCATTAAAGTAATTAATTAATCCACTAGCTAGGGATCGAAAGTTTAAATTCAAATACAGATATTGAGTTCATGCCTTTCAAAACTGATGTCACATACAGCTCACTTCTGAAAAGATGGGGTTCGTGCACTCTTCAACGATATTAAAGCGCTTGGTAGCTACGTTTCCGAGCCTAGTTAATGTGGTTAGTGGAGCGTATAAGAAGGCGATGGTGGCCAACGTCGGAACCGATGGTAAGATAACCAGAATATTTGATGACGACCAAGGGAAGGTGGTGAGTATGGTCACTTCAGCTTTGGAGTTCAAGGACCATCTTTATCTTGGAAGTATCAATTCCAATTTCATTGGAAAATTACCACTTTGAAACCACAACTAGCTTAAATTCCACTCTGAATCCGATTTCATTTCCAGTCATGGTTCTGCGTTCAGCCCATGAATCCTTGATTTAAGAAACGAGTTTATACTTTTATGGCTTCTGAACTGTTTATTAGTTTATTACTTTTCCTCTGTTTTAAAATTTATATAAAATATTACTCCACGAGAATATAATTATACTATCATTTAATGCAATACTTCAGAAAGATGAGACGCAAATCACAATTGTAGCTAATTGAATGAGGTATAGTTGGAAAAAACAAACAAACAAACAAACCAGAATATTGACATATTCCCAATTTCTAATTATTATTTTTTTAAACCAATTTTTGGGCCAGGTCGGGCCACAGACAATGTGCCATCCACCTAGCCTATGATACTTACTACAAAAGAATTTAATCTAACTTGCATAATTTTAAAAAATTTAGTTAATCACAATAATTATGTCTAAAATTAAAATGTTTATATTAAAATATCCTTGTACTTAATATTTACCTTTTCTTTTAATTTAATGATTGATATTATCCATTTAGAAGTGACAGTTTTTAAAAAAATGTAATTAAAACTTATTAAAATTTATATTTTTGCTTATAATAAAAAGCAAAGAAACACAGGGTAGCTTCTTAAAATGTAATTAATGTTTTTTAATTTATACTTAATATATTTTTATTCAATCAAATGAGAATAAGAAAATTTTTAAGTTTTAATAATATTAATAATAAGAGTTTGATATAAAATAAATAATATATAAAAATAAAATCACATGAGTAATGTATAGAGTATTTTTAATTTAAAAAAATTATTAAGAATTATAAAATTATTTTCTAAACAAAGATATTTTGAACTAATGCAATTATATTTTTTATTAAGAAAAAATTTATTTAATTTTTTAATTTTCTTACTTTTTTTTTATACTCATTCAATATCACAAGCTTCAATTAATTCAAATTAATTCAAATTCGAGCACTGTAGAGCCTTAAAAAGAGTGGCTCTCTTGAGCATATTTTTTCTATTCCTATCACTTGAGGGATCAAACTGATGGTTAAGAGAACCCAGACATTTTCATTTGAACCTGATTTTTTTTTAACTTTTTTTTGTTTATTATAAGATTTTTACAATGAGTTGTGAGACAAAACTTGGCCTAGATTAGTAGGAGTTTCGGCCAGCTCATCTTAGTCAAATGAATACTTTTTTTTATTGTCTAAAATATCCTCACAACCCATAATTATGAGACTAAGAGGGTTTATACATTAAGAATTCAAACCCCCTTAGTCCATGAACACTTTTAATTAGTTGCCCTGGTTTTCATTGGTGCGGAAACATCTTTTGGGATTTCAATTAACTTTGGGCTTTGACCCTCCTTGTTTACCCCAAATAAAAACAAACAAAGCAGATGTCATAAATTATTATTAAAACTCCAATGAATAATGCGATCTTAGAATTCAAAATGAATTAGTATAAAAAAAGAATTCAAAATAAATTAATTTTAATTTGACCATTGGTAATCGGGTGAAATGGAGATGATTTGATTATTTTGTAATTAAGATTGATGATTTAAATTCTTTTCTTTTTGTAAAAATTGATGATTTAAATTCTGTAGATGAAAGAAATTACGTATTCAATTCACGGACAATATTTAAATTTGTTAGATTGTTAGATAGAACTAAAAATTATATATTTATATAAGAAATTAAATTTAAATTTATTGAAAGCACGTAATCCGTAACTAATTAACTTACAATATCTACTCATAAATTATTGAGTATCAAACTACTTAAATTTAAATCTATACAATATAAAATTCTTTTTTAAGTAAAATATCAATAATTACATAACATTTATACTATATTGTAGAAACGAAGTATTATTCATTTTTTAATAAATTCATGTAAATTTTCTTGTGAGATATATATACATATATTCACACTTATTATTCAATCTAGCTCATCTTGAAACAAGTTATGAATTATGAAATTATTATTTTTAAAATCAGATTAAACCGGTTGGTTTGACCGGTAAACCAGCGACCCGATCATATGTCCAGTTTGGCTTTGCATTTCAATGTGGCATATGTTAAACCGAGTTAACCTGGCTCAACTAGTGAGATGAGTTAGGCGAGTTGAATTTCTTTTAAATATTCTCACCCTAAAATGTGGGGGCAATAAAATAAAAAAATTATTGAAACAACTTAGGGTGAGAAAATGGAGAAGAAAAAAGACCTGCAGCTCTATACTTCTTCAGATCTTCGATCTTCGTCTCCTCATGTTCGCATTCTCACTTCTCAGTCTGTTCTCGACTCTTGTCTAATCAATCCATCGTCCACTCGTCTCTAACTAGGGGCCACTGAAGCACTGCTTATCCTGTCGTCCATCGTCCCTAAGCAATGACCTCTCTTTGATCTTCAAGCTTCTTGATGTTCGATAAAAACAAAAAGAAGAGAAGAGAGATGAACATGAGTGCTAAAGAGGTTGGAGAAGAGATTTTGAGTGCTGAAGAGGGAGACGTGTTTGGAAAATGAAATGAAGAAAGTAAAGAAAGCAAACATAGAGAAACTTGAGATCAGATATGGGGAAATGAAATGAAGAAAGTGAAGACAGCAGGCACGGCAAAACATGAGACGGGAAACATCTTTCAAAACAACTATTTACAAAAATTTTATATTATATAATATCATTTTTTAACAAATAAACATACTAGAAAACATGATAAATGGAGTCGTTTTCACTATCAAATAACTATCTGTAAAAGCAAAAAGTTTTTTGCCAGTTAAATTTTATTATCATTAAATTAAAATTTATTTTTTATTAAAAAAATTGAAATTTATTTCTTATTTAAATTATTTTATTTTATTATAACGGTCTAATTTCGGTTTGATTTTTGATTTGATCACGATTAAATTCTTAACCCCTGATCCCTTATCTCAATTGATTTAACGGCCGGTTTGTTATGATGTATCAACTGATATTAGCAAAAGTGTTCATCGCAGTCTAATTAAGAGGGATTTATCTATTGCTCTTACCATCCTAAAAAAGATTAATCCCTGCTGTCAACGAAATATACCTTTTTGACTTGAAAAAAGAGAGGTGATGATGTGAATATTACTGACGAAAAAGTAACATTTCTAATTTGTTCTGACTTCAATTTGACCAATACCATATAATTGTATGAAAAAAAGAATGAATGAATGAATGAATTTCACTCTCATTAAAAGCATTAGGTTTAAAAAGTATTTTTAATCCTATAATTTATATAAAATTTTAATTTAATTTCTTAATTTTATATAATTTTTTTTTTGTTTTTAACTATAATATCATTAATTTTAAATGACTATTTTTAGTGCCCATCATTTTTATTTTAAAAAAATTAAACTTAATATGTTCATGTTTAAAAATATTTTGTTAATATTTAATAATTTAATGTAGGAATTTTTGGTTGACGAAACTAACCACACTAAAAAACACTTTATAAAATTAAAAAATAAAAATAAAATTTTATATAAAATTAAATAATTTTTTTACCAATTAAAAAATTAAATGTATACTTGTGCTTAACATCAATTGCAAATATAACTCACAATATTCAATGCATTTCACATTTTCATTGAAACATGTACTATAACACAGTCAAGTCCATGATTATTAAATTAAATGGATTCCGCAATCTTAACAATTAAATCTAAAATGGATTTCTGGTAAAAAAACAATTAAAATGAATTTATTTTAATTTAAACACGGGTAATTACTAACCTAACTCGAAAACATTTGCAGCATTATTGAACATTTGTTCATCAGTTTTCTTGAATTTTGTGCCATTCTTGAAAAGTAGAAACAACGTAACGCCTGAAGCTTTAATATATCCATGTATACGGTTCATGCCAGTCTTGCGTGTAGCAAATTCCAAGAGTTAACAATGGAGTGGTTGGCAGCCTGCACGAGCCTGGTTCTGGTGGGTTTGCTTGCTCTCGCAGTCCAGGTTCTCTACTTCTCTCCCATAGACCCAATCATTGTCGAAAGGCCTCCATTTTCGGCTTCTCCTTTCCCAGTCAACAACCATTTACAGAAGGTCGTCAAGCTCGGTGAAGGAATCGTCAAACATCCCGAAGATGTCTGTGTGGACAAACATGGCACTCTCTATACGGCTAGCAGAGATGGCTGGATCCTGCGATTACACCCTAATGGGTCCTGGGACCACTGGAAGAACACTCATAGTCATACCATGCTCGGAATTACTGTCACGACACAGGGTGATGTCATTGTTTGTGATTCCGACAAGGTGATCAATTTATCTACACGCTTTCTTTTCCAAACTTGATTACTTTCAGAAGACCGATATATAGACACCATTTTATACTGTCTAGGCCTCTGATTTGATGAGATTTTCTGCTTACTCAGATTCTGGGGTATAATTTGATGTGCAGGGGTTGCTTAAAGTCTCAGACGATGGTCTCACAGTCCTTGTCTCTCAAGTGAACGGATCTAAATTAAGGTAAGAACGGTGCCATATAATATCAATTGGTATTGCAAGATTGCCTTTAAACTTGTTTTTCTTCCCCCAAGGGAAAGCTGATTGGGCATTATTATTTGCCAAAACTGGTTTGCCCCCAAATCTAGCACGAATCACTAATTGGCTAAAGTAAGAATTAGGCATGAGAAGATAGGCCTTGCTTCTCAGAGGTCCATACCAACAATGAGGTCCGCATTCCCAGTCAGTTAGACTTTTGTGTAGATTGGTTTTTCCCAAAATTAAATTTGTATCGTCAAAGAGACGCTTTAGTTGAACTGTTGAAGAGTCTAACTCAAACATCAAAGTCATGAATAAATAGTTGGTCAGTGTTCAAGAGACGCTCCATTAACACAACTAACGGTGCAAAAATAAATCAGTAATTAGTGAAGTACTTAGCAATACTTGGTTTTGGTGTTAACGTGGGCTTGGACTGTGAAGAGGCCTGCCACTTTGGGCCTAGAAGGGATGTACGGACCGCGGGGAAGGAGTGCAGATACATAGGCAGAGGAAATGCCAACTGGGAGGCGTGATGGATGAACTATTGAGTCTTTCTATCATTCTGACATTTCTCTCGTTAGATCTGGCCACAGTCCTCGTGACAGCGAAGTTTCTACCAAATGATAATGATATGAACTCCACATATTTACTTCAAACGAAAAACACAACTCAGTAATCTTTTAATTTGAAATGTTTGAACTAATCAGTAAACAAGTGAAAGTGGTAAATGACTTTTTACCCAGTACACTAATGATTTGATTTGAAATGTTTGTATACAGGTCTGTAGATGAAGTGGTGGCAGCTTCCGATGGAAGCTTATATTTCAGCGTTGTGAGCACCAAGTACGATGTGCACAATTGGTATCTAGATTTGCTGGAGGCAAGACCTCACGGCCAAGTTCTCAAGTACAATCCATTCTCAAATGAAACCAGTGTTGTTTTAGACAATCTGAAATTCGCCAACGGCGTTGCTCTTTCCAAGGACGAAGGCTATCTCGTGGTCTGTGAAACTTGGAAGTATGTCTATTATTTTCACCAACCAACACACATTGTTTCGCTTCCCAACTCTTGACACGCTAATACTTCATTTCCTATAAATCAGACTTCGTTGTCTGAGGCACTGGCTGAAAGGAGAAAAGAAAGGCAACACACAAATATTTATTGATAACCTCCCCGGTGGACCTGATAACATTCATCTTGCTCCTGACGGCTCTTTCTGGGTGGCTTTGGTTCCGGTAAAGATTTTTTAAAGTCACTAATTAATTAATTAATTAATGTTGCATCATTAAACATGAAATGATTTCCTTCAAATAAAAACTGATGTGATGTGATATGCATGTGCTTTTGGAGAAGCCGGCTTTTGTGCTGTCTTCCAGCTCCAAGTTATTAAAACACTTGATGGCTTCATTTCCAAAACTAATCAGTGTGGTGGCACCGCCGATTAAGAAGGCGAGTGTGGCAAATGTGGGAAACGACGGTGAGATCATTCAAATATTGGATGATGAGGAAGGGAAGGTAATGAGTTTGGTCACTTCAGCTTTTGAATTTGATGGCTATCTTTACCTGGCAGATCTCAATTCTAACTTCATCGCAAAATTACCATTACCTGCTGAAGCCATGTCCGCCTAATCAATAAACTTTTGTCTCAGCTAATCGCCTTTTTGTTCTTCTTCTTGTTTTTTTGGCCTCCTATATTATATTACGGTATATTTATGAAATGAAGGCACGAGAAAGCTGCCTAGAGATAGATCGTGTAATCATGTATCTCGTGTGGTTCACAGTACATCGTGACTTCGTACCCGAATGTGACAAATACGTCGACGCTTGGCATCGCACCAAAAACATTTCGTCATCATGACTCTTGAACTTGATGGAATTATATTTCCAAAATTTATTTTTTTATTTATATAATTCATATTATTTCAAAGTTCAAAATTACTTTATAAATTTTCCATGCATTTTTTAATGGTCTTGAATAAAATGATTCTTCGCGAAAATATTTAGCATTTAAAAGGTAGTACAAGAAAATTGTGTAGCAGAAAAAGTTTAGGGACAATTTCATGCTATATTTTAAATTTTAGTCAAAACATAATATTAAAAAAATTAGTTAAAACATAATCACATTCAAGAAAGGTATAAAGTCGTCAGTTCCTCAAAAAAGTATCATCTTGCTTTCCCAAATAAGATGTTTTAGATTTTTTTTAAATAAGACCTTTTAAAAAATATGTAAATATATTAATTCGCAGATCTCTTAGGCAAAAATATTATATACACAAAATTTTTTTTTTTGTAAAAGAACTACTTTCTTCATATCAAATTATAAAAAACTTTTAAAAGAATTTTTTTATCTCAAAATATAAAATATTTTAGATAAATTAAATTTTTATTAAATGTATCAATTCTAATTTTACTTTCTCTCCTTATAATTAATTCTTATTCCTTCTTTTTCCAATATATTAAAAAAATGATATTTTTTAAAAAAATTATATTTTTATTTTAAAAAGATAAAATTATTAAATATATTTAATAAAATTTATTAATACATGATATTTTAAAAATATTTTATAATTTAAGACGGAAGATGTAAAATGCACCCAAAATTTTAATAAGATTGGAAAATTGCTTATCCAGTTCATCGTTACTGCTTATAGAGAGACAGAGAAGAGAAACTTACAAAAAAATGGAAAGGGAAAGCGATGGCTACAAGGAAAGGATCATTATAATCATAATCGTTATTATATTATGTTCTAGTGTATATTTAGGAAAAATCCTGACCTATATTTAATATTTCATTGATTAATTAATTTTTTATAAATAATAATATAAAATCCTTAATAAAGTGTGCTACATTTATGAACTCATTTCCACAACCCACACTAATTAATTGCTATAATAATAAATAAGAAAATAGCACCCACACTCCTCCTCCTCCTCCTTCACAGAGGGCTATTATTTTTCCTTTGAACCAGCGTGATATCTTTTCAACTGAGGTTCAGGCATCGTGGTCCCTCCATTGTTATTCATTTTCCGTCGGCCGCGATCTCCGCCATTCCCCTCACCTGATCAGGTCTCTCTTTAAGATTTCGTTTTTCTGAAATTATTCCAAATTGCCCTTACTTTATTCAAATTATTATTTCTCTATGCTTTCCCCTCTCTTCCTAATAATCTTCATTTCAGGAAATTATTCTCCGCTGGGTAACTCTTCAATCTTACCGTTATTGTTCTTGATTCACCAACTCTTCGTTCGGGAACATATTATATTACAATTTCTCATCTGTGGAGGCTAGTTTCTCGTGGATTCAGCAAGTTGTTGTTCTGTATCTGAATCAGGTAAAATCACCTTTTGTTTTTGATATGACGGCGGCTAATTAAGTTGAGGTGCTTCTTCCAAAAAGGCCAGATCCATTTTTTATTTTGAAAAGGGAAGCGCAGTGGTTGAATTGTCTGTTTTTAATATATAGTTAGCCAATGTACTGAGATACGCGATATGTTTTTATCTTCTTTAAACTGACATCAAATTGATTAAGGTTGTCATCTCTTGTTCTTTCTGTCTTATCTTTCTTTCACTTGAGCTGAAACAGTTGTTAAAAAGGAAAGGTTGTAAACTTATTTTCTGCTTGTGTTTAGACTCTAGTGTTTTGATCTTTTTAAACAGTTTGTGATTTGTGTTCCCTTTATGTGAAAATGTCGGGTATGAATGAAGCTCAAAAATAGTGCATCTGCCCTGATTTTGTTGAACTTCTCTTTTTGCCCCCTAATCTAGTTACAATACCTTCTTATTATAAGTTTCATAGATTTTTCGTTTATTGGACCTAAGGTTCAGGACACTTTTTGTTTTTGCAGGATGAAGGGAGGCTTAAATGGGTTGAAGGGTAAAGAAATTTCACTTATTTCCATTGTTCTCATGTCCGCGACTATTCTTTTATGGACCTGGGAGAAAACCCCAGGTCTTACAGCCTTTCTTCCTCCTCAAACACAACTGCAGCTATCTTCAGGTTCCATCAGAGAATTCCTTTGGTTCTTGATATTCTATCAACATGGCAATATTAATCAGTTTTTTATTTTTTTCAATGAAGGTGGAAACATATGTATTGTTATTTTTCCATTAAAAATTTTCTGACAGTGTTACAGAGTTATCCTTCTATCTGAGTTCGGACTGTACATGTCCTCTGTTTGTCTTAAAATCAGAAAATCCCATCACATATTGTCCTGTGGTGTGGTCAAAATGGACATTAAATTTTTAGCATCTTCATAATAAATACTACTCTGTGCTCCAAACTTAGAAAGTTCCAGCTAGGTAGTAAGCACACATTTTTCCTGGTGTTTTATTTATAGCCGTTGCTGCATTTGCTGCAGAAGTAGGTGGAGGTGGAGGTGGCTCTACCAATAAGCAGGAAGAACTACAATTAAATGGAGTGACTCAAACAGTTTCTGCAGAAAGCTCTTCTAGAAGGAGCATTGATGAAAGCCATACAATAACTACTACACTTACAGAACGTAAGATACTGTTTTATGTTATCCTCGTTGACAATATGTCCCTCTTGGGTGGCATCCTCTATATCAATGAGTATATGTTCACCTTTATATGGAGCTGTTTTGTGCTTAATCTGGTCATTGCTGTTGTAGTGAATCTGTAATGCCTATTTTTATCGTAACCTATCTGGTATGTTAAATGCAATGCCATGATGCAGATATGTTCTTCCAAAATCCCATACATGCTAATATCAATATAAAATGAGTTTCAGCTTTCAACATCATTTTAGCAGTACAACATTTAGCAATTCGCATATAATCTTTCAGTTCTCTCACCTGTTTCTTTGAGCGTATACCAACTCAATGCTATGCTAAATCTTGAACCTTCTCTCTCATTGTGTGATATTGTAGAAATTCACTCAAAGTCATCGGATGACAAAGCTGAAGTAAAAGAAGTCCTAGAAGCTGGGAACAGTCACATTGCACAAACTCTTTCCAATCCAGAAAAAATTAATGAAAATAGGCATCAAGAAGAAGGGAAGGAAGCATCAAAAGAAGCAGAAAGTAGAACAGACGTTGTAGCTTCAAATCAGTCTCCACAAATACGCTATTCAGTTGATAGAAAAGACAACGAAAATTGGAATAATGTTACAGAACATAAAGGTAACGGATTTTTACTTGACATACCAAGCTATTGTATTGTCCATCAAGTTCCTGACATGTTCAAACTAATTCAAATATCTATATACATGTATATATTGTCAGTTGAACTAAAATTAATACATGTTCTTGCAATGGCCTTTCAAATAATGAATTTTTACTTTGGAGAATATCTCTAATCGTTTCTGAGAAACTAACTTTTTTGTTATTTATAGACCAGTTTCGAAACCTTCAAGTATCATTATCAATGGTTTGACAAGAGTTACCATTCTGTTTGTTCCTTCCATTTGTTGGCAGGGGCATGCTAGGTAGCGCTTAATCATTATTCTGAGTGGGTTTTGTAAATGAGAAACTTTATACATCTCCATGGTCCTGAATTGGGATGATAAAATTTATACTGCATATGTAAATTCTGCTCAGTGGCTCCACCCACCAGTGAACAGGCTACTGCAACAGTGATTTTGTGCATAATTGTTGGACTTATGAACTTTCTATTAGTAAGTACTGTCTAAGTAATGATTGTTCTCCTGTTGGCCCTTTCTCCAGCCTGTAACTTTGCAAAAGGAAAATGGGTTCTGGACAACAACCGGCCTTTGTATTCAGGGTTTGAATGCAAGCAGTGGCTGTCAGCGATGTGGGCTTGCCGGTTGACACAGCGTACAGATTTTGCTTATGAGAACATTCGATGGCAGCCAAAAGATTGTCAAATGGAAGAATTTGAAGGATCTAAATTCTTGAGAAGGTATTTCATTCTTTTCACTCAGTTGAGGAATGCTTGATTAAGTATAAGTTGTGCTGAAATTTTTTCATTCTTCAGAAAAAATAACCCATAGATGTCTGGTCAATTAATGATGTTCTTTGTGTATTTAGGATGCAAAACAAAACTCTAGCTTTTGTTGGAGATTCATTGGGCCGGCAGCAGTTCCAGTCTTTAATGTGCATGATCACAGGTGGCAAGGAGACAACTGATGTAGAAGATGTGGGGAACGATTATGGGTTGCTTTTAACTGAGGGTGCTGCTCGTCCTAATGGATGGGCTTACCGTTTCCCAAGCACCAATACTACCATCCTGTACTACTGGTCGGCAACTCTTTGTGACATTGAACCTATTGATTCAAATAACCCCAATACTGAGTATGCCATGCACCTTGATCGGCCACCAGCATTCTTACGTCATTTCATTCACAAGTTTGATGTCCTGGTTCTCAACACAGGTCACCACTGGAATCGAGGAAAGCTCAAAGGTAATAGATGGGTAATGCATGTTGGTGGTGTGCCAAATACAGATAAGAAAATAGCAGTGATTTGGGGTGCCAAGAATCTGACAATTCACAGTGTTGTTAGTTGGGTGAATTCACAGCTTCCTAACTATCCTGGTTTGAAGGTATTCTTTCGGACCATCTCCCCTAGGCATTTTTTGGGCGGGGAATGGAACACAGGAGGCAGTTGCAACAACACTGCCCCCATGTCCATTGGAAAGGAGATAATAGATGAGGAGTCTACCGATAAA